ACCACTGCCGCATGGGCCAGTCCATGGCATACCATTAATTAATGCGCGTTTGTTGTACATGACCTTGGCAGGGAGCGACGATCTGTTCGACATTCAGTGATCCAACTGCCGGATGATTTGGCTAGGGCTCAGTGACATTTCACTGGCCCTACAGTGTCGATAACTACCCTTTCAGTTTTGAAAAGATGCTCAATATCTAGCATTCTGAGCACTTTTCACTTGACTTAGTGGGTGAATAGTGTAAATGAATGCATGATTTCTACCGAAAATTTCACTTCAGTCACCTTCAGTTATCTGCACGTCTTTTATGGACACGCAACTGTAACACCCAAAATCGACAAGTGTAAAACGGATTGGGTCTTGAAATAAAATTATTAGTAAACGTCGTGCTCTTATATCCCAGACAACCAAAAAGAGGGAAATAAAGGTGAACAAAGGGGAAATAAAGGGGTAAATATTTACCCCAAGCAACCCAAAAAGGGGTAAATGCTTTGGTGGCGAAAGGAGAAAACGCGCCAGAATGTCGCCTGTTCGGGGGAAATAATGCGGATTTTCCCCTTTTTGTCGACAAATTACCGACTTATGGCCTAAATATGTCGCATTCATTCAATGAGTGAGTGAGAAGATGCCCTTAAATACTTAATATTGGAGGCTCCGTAGATCAACGACGAAGATAATCCACATCGAGTGATTGGGGCCCACTCGATTTAGACGGGATTGATGTGACCAGCGGCTATAGCTGCTGGTTATAACGTTGAAGTTACATGTAACGCGGAATACCCCGTCGTCATATCAAGGTACTATCGCTGCTATGAAGACCGTACAATACAAATGACGTTTAAACGTAAATATATTAGTAAGAACGAGCACAAAGAATATTTTGAGACTACCACCACACGATCCAGTCGGCTGCAATTAAACGCAACTCGATTTCGTAATCGTGGCAGTCAGCTTAGCGACCAATCAGAATAAAGCATGACTTTGTGAATGACCTTTGTCTTCAGTTTTCAGTAATAAGGATAGGAGTTCTATCGACTTATGTTAATCATTGCAGTTTGTAATACTGTGGAGGTCCAATCTCGTTTTGAATATATATCAACAGAAGGTGATGATATTACTTGTTCTGGTAGAGAATTCCAGTAATTCACTACTCGGCACGAGAAACGAAACTCTAGATGCAGACGATTTGATCTCGGTTTTTGAACTTTCTTTGAATGTCCTCTTAAACGATCAGTCCTGGACGGAAGGAAAAGATAAGACATATTAATACCAAGGTCATCGTTCAGCACACGATAAACCAATATCAGATCATCCCGCATTCTACGGTAAGATAACGGAAATAAGTTAAGGTGTCTCAGTCTGTCTTCATAAGATATGCCAGATAGACCTTTTGCCATCTTAGTACCTCGTTCCAGCACATCTGCTTCATACTTCAAACAAGGAATCGTTGCTTGAATCCCATGTTCCAAATGTGGTTGCACGGAAGTCGGGTGACTTACTTACGCCTGTTACTCCCAATGGAACATAGACCGCTGACCAGCATTCTCCAACCCACTTTGTCCTGGGCCATGTTTCCTAGTTCCATACAATCCTTGTTCATTTTTCTCATGTCTATCTCCATTTTCCGGCGTAATGTGCTCTTTGGTCTTCCTCTTTTCCTTTGACCTTCAGGATTCCATGTGAGGCTTGTCTTGTGACACAGTTGGGTGCTTTCCTCAATGTGTGTCATATCCACTTCCAGCGCTTCTTCCTGATTTCTCCCTCCGCTGGGATCTGGTTTGTTCTCTCCCACAGTACGTTGTTGCTAATGGTGTCCGGCCAACGGATCTGAAGTATTTTGCGTAGACAATTGTTAATAAACACCTGTATCTTCTGGATGATGGCTTTCGTAGTTCTCAAGGTTTCCGCCACATACAGTAGAACTGTCTTGACATTTGTATTGAAAATCCTGACCTTGGTGTTGGTTGACAGTTGCTTTGAGTTCCAGATGTTCTTCAGTTGTAAATATGCTGCTCTTGCTTTGCCGATCCGCGCCTTCACATCTGCATCAGATCCACCCTGTTCATCGATGATGCTGCCCAAATATGTAAAGGTTTTTACATCTTCCAAATCTTCTCTGTCAAGTGTGACTCGGTTGTTGCATGTTGAATTGTATCGGAGAATTTTGCATTTCCCTTTGTGTATGTTGAGACCTACTGCTGCTGAGGCTGCTGCCACACTGTTCGTCTTCTCCTGCATTTGTTGTTGCGTGTGCGATAGAAGAGCCAGATCATCTGCGAAGTCTAGATCGTCCAACTGCATCCTAGTTGTCCATTGTATCCCGTGCTTCCCTTCAGATGTTGACGTCTTCATGATCCAGTCGATCGCCAGGAGAAAGAGAAAGGGTGAGAGTAAGCAACCTTGCCTAACACCGGTCTTCACTTTGAACGACTTTGTCAACTGTCCTCCATGCACGCCGTAGTGTCGAAGAAGTTTCCATAGTGTAGTTCTGTCCACGCTATCAAATGCCTTTTCGTGGTCAATGAAGTTGATGTAGAGCGATGAATTCCATTCAATTGATTGTTCCACAATGATCCGTAGAGTTGCGATTTGGTCTGTACACGATCTATCTTTACGGAATCCTGCCTGTTGGTCACGGAGTTGGGCGTCTACACAGTCCTTCATCCTGTTTAACAATATCCTGTTGAAGACTTTTCCCGGTATTGAGAGAAGAGTGATGCCTCTGTAGTTATCACAGTTGCTGAGATCGCCTTTCTTCGGTATTTTGATCAGGAGTCCTTCTTTCCAGTTTGTTGGTACTTGTTCCTCATCCCAAATCTTGCTGAAGAGAATGTGGAGTATCCTTGCAGTTGCCTCTACGTCTGCTTTTAGTACCTCTGCTGGAATGTTTTCTGGTCCCGCTGCTTTACCACTCTTGATTTGTCTGATGGTCATGCTGATTTCTTCAATTGTTAGTGGGCCAACATTGATTTGAAGGTCCGTGGGTGCTGCTTCGATGTTGAGTGGGTTCAATGGAGCTGGTCGACTCAAGAGTTCTTTGAATTGTTCTACCCACCTGTTTTGTTGCTCTTTAATGTTGGTGATTACCTTGCCTTCCTTGCTTTTCACTGGTCGTTCTGGTTTGCAACGATTTCCAGAGAGTTTATTTGTCGTGTCATACAGTTGTCCCATGTTTCCTTTTCTTGCAGCCTTTTCCGCCGTTGTTGCTAAATCTTCCACATTTTTACGTTTGTCAGTTCTGATGCTCCTCTTCACTTGCTTGTTTACTTCTGTGTATTCAGCTTGTGCCTTGGCTTTTTCCGCTCTTGTTCGACTGGTATTGATTGCTGCCTTCTTGTTCCTCCTTTCTTGAATCTTATCCAGTGTATCAACAGTGATCCATTCCTTGTGGTGGCGCTTCTCGTGACCCAGGACCTCATGACATGTTGAAGTGATTGCCTCCTTGATCCCTTCCCAGTTACTCTCCACAACAGTTCCTTCTCCATTGAGTACATCATGAGAGGCCTGGAACTTGTTGCTGAGGACTATCTTGAATTTGTTGAGTTTGTTAGTATCCTGAAGAAAGGCCGTATTGAACTTTTGTGATATTGTCCGCCCAATCGTCCAGTGCTTCTTGAGTTTCAATTTCATCTTGGCGACCAGCAAGTGACGATCTGATGATATATCAGCTCCTCTCTTGGTTCTCACGTCCTCTATAGTCCTCCTGAACGTTTTGTTGATGCAAATATAGTCGATTTGGTTTTGCGTGGTGTGATCCGGTGAAGTCCATGTGGTTTTGTGTATGCGTTTATGTGGGAATATGGTGCCGCCTATGACCAGTTTATTGAAGGCACATAGGTTTGCAAATCTCTCACCATTTTCGTTCCTTTCTCCCAGTCCGTGCAGTCCCATGATGTCTTCATATCCAATGTCGTCCGTTCCAACCTTGGCATCGAAATCTCCGATCAGAATGGTCAGGTCTTTTGTTGGGCACTTCTCGATGATTGACTGCAGCCTATTGTAGAATTGATCTTTAGCGTCTTCATTGTAGTCGTTGGTAGGCGCATAGCATTGGATGATGTTCATTGAAATGTCCTCTTTCTTTGTTTTGAAGGAGGCTTTGATGATCCTTCGTCCATGAGATTCCCATCCTATAAGCGCATTTTGCGCTTGTTTGGACAGCATCAATGCAACTCCTTGTGTATGTGGTGCATTTTCTTCTTCATGGCCGGAGTATAAGAGGAGCTCTCCTGTAGTTAGTCGTTGTTGTCCAACTTGTGTCCAATGTTTCACTGATCCCAAGTACCTCTAGGTTGTATCTTCTCATTTCTGCAGTAATTTGGAGGGCTCTCCCGGTGTCCCACATTGTGCGAACATTCCATGTACCTAAATAAATGGTCGCTCTGGTTGTCAGAAGGGGCATCGATCTCGTAACTTCCGAAGGAATCCGGCTTTCATCATGAGGCGTCATAATTCTTCTAAATGAAGACCTTCTGACTCCCAAGGCAGAGTTTTAAAGAATTGAATAATTTTTTCTGGTTAGCGTTATTTTAGCGAGTTAGTTTTCTACGGGATGCGGACGCTAACACCATGCCCAACCCTCCTCCTTTATCCGGGCTTGGGACCGGCAATAGCCCCCGGAGGGACTCCAGGCGGAGTTGGATAGTGCTTATGATCATCTCTAATTCGCCGAAAGTTGTAGTAGCGGTGAGGTCAGATGCCTTTTTGAATTTTTGGCGAAAGTTTTTTCGCTGGTACAAGAGGGAAACGAATACTACCAAACTGGCCAGAAAAAGCATTTGCAGCCAAATAAAAGTCATTGTCGGCGAAATAATCCTTCTTGTTGTAGTACCTTTTCAATATCCGGACAGCGATGTCGACATTCGGTAAAATTGGTTAGAACACAGTGAACACACGGAAGTATATACTGTATTTACACACTTTGTAACGATGTTTTAAAGTTATTTATGTAAAACAATAATCGTTTATTCAGATTGTACAAGAAAAGATTCAAAGTTTCTTCAGGTGACCTGCAATATATAAGTCACCGCTAAACTCGAGTTGTAGCGTCACTGTTACCTGAAGTCAGTGACATTGACACTTCTAGGTTTCTATAGTTCATTCGGGAGACTATAATTTATAGACGAAATAATCAAATACAAGGTAAATCTTGTATTTTGGCACGAACTTCATTCGTTCATCTGGCTGAATGTCATTTCGGCAGTTTAGATGATGTCACTTCGTGATAAAAACTTTAAATCTAGTTCATAATCCTAATCTTCAACTGTAAATCACAATTCTAATTCCTCACCCTGCTTTATAACTGTCATGTAGTCCTAGTCAACAGGTGGACAGTCTCTGGATCATTTAGCGTCGATCAAAGATCGTCCGTAAATTGAAGTCTCACCATTGATATTCACCACCCAGTCACATATCGCAAACTGAGACTTATTCATGCGTGTTGGCTGTATATACACAGTGCAAAGCAAGGATCTAAATTCCCACCACGCGGCTTGTTTTCTCGGAAAAAATATTTTTAGAAAACTTTTTTATACGGATCCTTTGAGTTAGTCATTACCACTGCTCTTGATATTCTTATTCAGATCTATCTATACAATCTCCTTGTTTGTTTGTACGGTATTAAGTTCTCTCTTTGGATCTGATACATATTACGTTTTAAAAGTGAGCCGCAACTATAATGATAACAACACTGAGAAGTCTTTCCATCCGATATCGGGTTTAATTTGACAATTAATGACAATCTATAACGACTCAGATCATATTATAAGCATGATTGAACTTCATAGAACAAATGGTACGATTGTAAGGAAAAATCACTGTGTCCATGTAATTATTGTAACAGCCAAAACGTGTGCTATGAACAATGGCAGTACCGAAATATGGGTTTCCAAATCGTTATGTAGAAAAGTTCATATATAAACAAATTCAAGTACTTTCCGTTGACATTTCTCTAGGTAATCAACTGTTTGTAAAATGTGTGATGAGTATGGCGGTGCAGATGACTTTGAATCAGATGAAGAGCCTCTGGACGAGGTACCAGAAGAGGATTTAGACACAAAACCTGGTAAGTCCCACATACTTTGTCATAACGCGACCCAAGGATATCATGTTTTCTCATCTTTAAAACTTCTCATTTGTTAGTGCTGATATTTAACTAATCAGTTGGCTAGAGTTGTTTATCACTTTGTATAATACAAATTATGATATGAATTTTTCAAATCGATTAAGTGCTGTCATTCCATGGAGCCATTAACTCCCGTTGGTCGATTTCGATAGTTACAAACTTCTTGGTAGTAATGGTTCAAGTTCTTAGTTTACGCGCAATAACGGTTGCAATTATATCCATCATCAATATTCCTTTAATTCTTGAACGAAGTGTCGGTCCTAACGTTTTATTCCCCGATGTTGTTTGTTCTGCTTAGACTTCCGGAGTCCTATATTTTCGTTACTATTAATTTCGACTTCTCTTCCCTTATGGCCTGCTTACTTACCTTTCTTGCTTCGTGAATGTGAGGTGCTGCAGATTCGACATATAACCCTTTGTCTTCAATATCGTTGCCTCTTTCGTGTGATTAGAAACAATTCACGGAAATTCCATGGACTATACAGGTGATGTAGTTCACTTATTCAAAGATTTACATGTCTAACAATACCTATCTTAATCGACCTATCATTACGCTTTGTACAATCCTGATCAGCTAAGACTGTAATAAAACAGGTGTTCATAACTCAAAAATGTCTAAATCATACGTCCGGCACTTTAACCAGGTTGATGAACGCGGAGGGTCCACCTAGGTGAGTTGGAAAACTCTGATTCCAAACCAATCGAGCACATTGGCTCCAGAGACAAATGGAGTATGAACCTATTATTGGTGACCGGCTACCATGGGACTGCACATCTTACGTTGCTTCACTATCTTGTGGGCCAGACTTTTAAGTCAAAGGCTCGAGGTGTGGCCCCCTAAGGGAACCACCTGCTTTGGTTTCGGCACCCAGGCGGTATCGCAGCCGTTAAGCAAACAGAGTAATCTATTTGGTGCCTCATTGTGTGTCTTTAAGTAAATATATAAACATCGCTAGGTCTTTCTGAGTCTATCAATATTGCGGAAAAACTGTTTCTCCGCAACCCTGATTACTTCTTAATGTGTAACGGGTTTGCACTTCACATCTACATAGCGTAATTTCTTCCTACACAATGTACTCGTGGTTATTAGACTCTTTGTTTAGTAGTACAATTGATGTGATATCTTCAAACTAGTCTGCACAGACTGGGTACACACTAAAATTAGTCGTATAATATACATTTCTAGAGATTTTACAGAGACCAGTCACTATGCGTTTGCATATTATTTTATAGAAGGTGTCACGTACATAACAGCTGATGAAGCGCCGCGCTTATCAGGTCAAAATATGGCTGCCCCAGTAGAAAAAAGTAAACGGATTACTACTCCATATCTTACGAAATATGAACGTGCTAGAGTTTTAGGTGCACGAGCTCTGCAACTATCAATGTCTGCTCCCGTTATGGTCGAACTGGATGGTGAACGAGATCCTCTAAAAATTGCTGAAAAGGAATTAAGGGCTAACAAAATACCTATCATTATTCGACGTTTCCTTCCTGATGGGAGTTTTGAAGACTGGAGTTTGGATGAACTTATTTTGACAGAATAAATTCATATTTTTTGTTTTATGCGTGACTTGGATTGTTCAGTACCGCTGATAATCATGTCTTTCGTCAGCAATATTATCCGCTTTCCCTAAAAGAGAACTTGGTTTATTTTCATGGTCAGTCATAATCAATGTACACATGGGCACGAGCGTAATTTAGTTCAAGTTGTTACAACACATCAGCATGGTCAAATAAAATTAACTAGCTGTGTAGTAAATGAGACAAAATAATGCATTAGCAATGATACGGAGAAAGGCTGAAAGCTTTAACACAACTATGGTAGTCTATGGAAATGGCGTAGAAAGTCCTGTAGCTCAGCCTATTGCACTCTATAACTTACATTGTGGAGTTGTTGACTGATTCTAGGGGAGTTTTTAATGAGGAAGTTCAGTGGGAACAATTAAAACACTTAACTAAGTATGTAGTTCGAAGTCAAGTACATAAAGGTGTCCCTACTTACTCAGTTGTACTGAACGTATTCGCATGTGCACCTGTTGCTTATCAAGTCAGTCATCTTCAGCGTACGACCAGGCACATATATGCATCGGTCCAACTTGCGACACCTCACTAGCACAACGCGATGAACACCAAATTCATAGTAGTTACTTCAATGATAGTAATGTATTTAAAGAAAGATCGCGTATAAGGATATAATACAGGAAGAAGGAATTAGTCCATAGAAAGAAAGGTATAAAGCAATTTTAATCACATGGTTTAAGGGAAGACAAAGAGTGTATGCATCTACGCCCTTGTGATCAATTCTGAGCAATGTCAACCAGAGTCTCCAACCACTGGTTACAATGGTTGCGCGGACCCAGACCAAAAAGCACGAGTGTTTCGTGCTCACACAAGGAACCAGAAATGATCCTATAACTTTCAGTGTCGTATGCAAACGCTTAGACTGTAGACCATCGGTCAGCCCATAATTTCAATGAAACATATCGGCCCAAGAACGAATCTGTTTGTGAACTATAAAACAACTACAGAAACCTGCGTGACAAACAAACTTCGGAAAGCGTAATGACTACAACTCATGGGTCTAAATAACTTTTACACAAGTGGAAAAATGCGGATCCACACAACAAGGTCCTTATTTTACAATTCTTACTAGAGTAAGTCCATTACTGTAAAAAGTATAAATCGTTTGAAATCATAAAAGGTTCATTCATCTATCAATTCACATAAATTGAATTTTTCGACGTTGTAATCTAATTTGGAAATCTGATGTATTATAAACAGCGGCACTTTGCAAGCATTAACATCTGCTGTACCATGCTAAGAAAATAAATTGACACTTACAAATAGCTCAGAAGTTCACGTTTATAACAGCTTTAAAAAAAGTAAAAATGCATAAGATCAAGGATTTGTTTTCATACTATACATCTAGTTTTCATTGAGTTAAAGACTACATAGACTTCAAGGAATGATCACGGAAGGCCATACAAGTGATTGCTCTCTGATGTCCTTTGTATTCAACGGGTACTTCACCTGTCTCCAAATTCCATAAGCGAGCAACTCCATCGGAAGTCGCAGTGAGCAAAAAGCGAGAGTCTGCCGAAAATGCGCAATCCCAAACCCAGTGATGACCTGATGGACTACCCTGTCGCGTTGTAACTAAACTAAAATCAGCAGTCTTTAAAAGATTAAATTTTCCATCACCTCCCCCGGTAGCTATCAATGTACTATCTGGCGAAAACTGCACTTTCAGAACATAAGTTGGATGTACTTTCTGCCGATGCTGTTAGAAAAAAATTAGCACAAAGTTTTAGTAAACATAACAAGAAAAGCTATTGTATCGTAGTCTAACGCCTATTGATGTATATTCTCGATGTTAACTAGAAATTAAAGACCACATAAGGCGATTACTAAAAATCTTAGACCAAGAAATATCGCTAAAGTTCTTTCTCAAAAATAAAAGAACTTTGGTAGTATAATAAAATCTATCTAAACGCTTCTAATATTTCAGGGGATAGCAACAAGAGTTCATACATTATCAGAACGAGCTAGTTGCCCTCGTTTATAATACTATCCCAAACAATATTATTAACCAAATACGTTTTTGCCTCCATTTCCACTCCTAGCGTCGACATGCGACAGAGAAGTAGCGGGATCATAATACAGACATGTTGAGGCAACTGAAACCGGCATCCTAAGATTGTTGCCAATCGAATTGCCACCAACCAAATTGTGTTGCTATCGAAATAATCCTTTGGATATACTGACGATCAAACACAAAGTTGGCGAACAGATATAGGAGCAGGATCGCTTTTGGTGATGCCGCCTTAAACCCGATGTACTACAGATAGACTGACATCATGTAAGTGGCTTAAGCTACTCGAGTAATTATGATGCGTAGAATGGCTCCATCTTCTATGCCACCATCAGCACTTACATGAGATGAGTGCAGAAACCATCTTCAGTGTTTTTCGAAATTGCTTCGCATTTTGGAATTATTTATTCACATGAATTGTTGACCGATTATATGTGATTTGAACTAGGTTATGTGTATAATGATAATGTCATACCCAAACTGGAGATAGAAAAGCCCATCATCATTTTCTTATAAGGCTGCAATCGACAAAGAAATTCTAGGGTGAGAATTGATAATTCCTTTTAACCTTACTGTCGACTTGAAACAATAAACAGGTGGTTGTATGTCATAACTTTCCTTAAGATATTTTACTAAAAAGCGCAAAGTATGTTAACAAAAATTTCTGACCAATCTTTCTACAACAGATGATCTCAGAGCATAATCCTGTTTAACGAATCAAAAGAGGCCGATATAAAGAATCTTAGTAACTATTACATTATAATAAGTGTCCCTAAGAATTCGGTGAAAAGTGAAAACATGATCAATACAATCTAAACTAAGACCGGTGTGCTGCTCGCGAATTTGTATTTCATGAGTTTTGCACAACCTACTGAATATGATGGTAGCCAATATTTTAAAGGGACTTGAAAGTACACTTGTACTCCAATTATTGTCGGACACTTTAATGTAACCCATTTTTAAAGATGGATATGGGAATCGCCTTGGTCCTAGGATGAATGAACACTGGTATCGGAAGATGACGAATAATTCGGCCCGTTATTTTGACTAGAAGTTCGCTTTTGTCGTTAAGTAGGGTAATGTTATCTAATCCTGATGAATTGTAATGCTTAAGGACCTCCGCTTCATTGCGGGAATAGACAATGACACAAGAAGGTTTGATCGACCCAACTGGTGAGCCATCAACTTTATAGATTTCTTTATTGAGATGTGTTTTATATCAGTCCGCTAAGATAAGTCAAGACAGCTTCTAAAAGCTTTCAGATGCAGTTAGTGCTTTAAAATCGTTAGCACACTTTGACGTTTTGTCGTGCTTACGACCCACCAGAGTAAACTAATATGTTATGAGTAATCGGGAAGCCAGCGTAAATAAATGAGACGTTTTGTGAAGGCATAAGTGAATCTACTTACTATTTACTTGGGATACTGTTAATGTAACCATACCTCATCTACACTTTAAAGCAATTTAGCAACTAAGCTAAAGATTATATTTTATTGTGATGGTGGGTGAAGCCAACTTCTCAACAACAATCCGTTTGAGACGATTTTTCTTATAATGCCTGTGAATGCGGAGTTGTGAGAGAAGAATTCTCACCTTTGGTTGTATCAGAATATCTGAGGCAACTGAAGTACGTAGAGTGAGGTTCAAACCTGTTACCTATATGCTGACAACCAAGCGGTCTTGACACCAGATCACCGTCTATATTCAGGTCCTAACCATTGGGCTTTTTATACATGAAATAAATAACCATCTTCAAGTATTTTTGGAGTTAACTTATCAGGTCCTGCTGCTCCTTCTCATCACAAGTTAAATATGATCTTTTTGACGTCACTAAAAATTGCGAGATTTGTGTCAATCTCCCATTAAAGTTACTATAGGATGGTGTATTACTGGAGACTAACTGGATGTTAATTAGTGTTTTCTTCAAAATGCCCCACCCAGTACTGTAGTTCCATCCTTGTCAGAAAGATTTATGCCAACTAATTTACAGCCTTTCTTTCTCTAATGAGAAGAGATAGATGTCCGGTAACGGTTTCACATGCTGCCACTGTCCTTTTTATTTCTCTTACTTCCGTTTCCCGAAATTCTTCACAATCGTTGGGTAGACATGACCCAATGATTTATCAATGAAACGTAGGACTACGACTTCTTTTAGCCTTTCTTAAATATTTGATTTGAACCCAGGGACTGAAGTTCAACGTTTTATCCAGTGATTGTCGCCTCCACTTCTTCAAGGTAGTAAATAAAATTAATTGATTTAGATTTCAGTCGCGACAGTTATTTCAAATATAGTTTCGACGAATGATTTATCCTATTTCTGTCAAACCATTCGTTCAAATATTGACGAAGGTTCATATAGTTATTTGGTTTGCGTTATAAAATATCACTGTCATGGATATAGCTACTTCGTTATCATCACAATACAATATATAGGAATTAACATATCGCCCATAAACGACTTAGTTTTTAGTTTCTTTTTAAAAGATTCCCGATTTTTTGTCTTCTAAGATCAGCACTTGAAGATTCTTTTTTGACTGAACCAGTCAGTCACAACGTATAACCTTGTACTTATGCACCTCGGTTCAAGTTGCTATACCCCGTCAGCACAGAAAAATGAAATTGTCAAGCCAAATCCCAGAACAGTACAGGTAGTAGCAGTTTCAGTGTTATTAGGAAAGATGAGGCATCGAAGATACGATTCGAGTAAATATAAATTAGTAAGACAAAAACAAAAATAGTTGAGTTTAGAATCTCAGAATTTGGAGGAAGACGGAGGACGGATGCATCTGCGCCGTGGCAAACGATTTTGAACCACGCTTTTCAAAGTCCCCAACCACGTATTAACATGGCACAGTTCAGTTATCAGTGTCTTCATGGTTTGGCCACCCCTAACTTTCTTACAGCCTGCTCCTACACCAGAAAACATTGTCCATCGAGGTAGGCGGGCAACGACAATTACAATGACAGTTCACCATATGCTCTGACTCGGCCAACAGTGTTTGGATAGAGCCCGTACAAGGTTAACGTGCTTCTTTGGTACTCCTTTCGATGACAGACTTCCGTAGAACCTCACTGTCAACGGCGTCGAACGCCGCCTTGAGGTCAAGGCACACAACCATAGTTGGACGTTAAAAAGTATCTATGTTCCAGAACCTATCAAAAGGTGGATATTTAGTCTATACATCCACATCCATATCTGAAACCAGCCTGGTTTCCACGGGTTTGCTCTTCAAGAGATCTGGTTAAATGTTGAAATATTGTTGAGACCAATATTTTAGACACCATATTAGTTAAACTGACTTCTCAGTGATTGTCACAAGATTACTGTTCTTTCTCAAAAACTAGGGCGACCAGCGATTGAGACCAGTTAGGTGGGATTACGTCCATCTCCTAGAGTTTAGCCAAGGTCTCAGTCAATCTAACTTCTGAAACTGGAACACCATCCTAAAAACTCCCAGAGGTTAGTACCTCAGGCCCTACCTCTCTTCCTCACTTTAGGCTACGTATAGCCTTTTCAACCTTATTCAGAGTTGAAGGACATACATCAATTTGCCATTCAAGCTGTTTGGAGGTAGTGGGTAACTGAATTGCGATTGAGGGCCAGTTGAACTCTTCCATAAAGTTTTTTGCCCATCAGTTCAACCTCCTGGACTAAGTGTGAATAATAATCACATCTTTTTACGAGATAGTTTCACTAACAGCCGGATTCGTAACACCCGTTTCCTTTATAAGTCTGAAGAGTTGTCCACTGTTACTTATCGCTGTCGTATTTTCCATCTACTCACCACTGCCTACATTTAAGGTGCCTCCCCTCCTCACCATATTCGAAGCCCACAAACGCCCTGGTACAGTCGAGGGTGGGGAGAGTCCACCCTCCCTCTCAAAATTCTCTCACACTGGCACGCGTACACAGCCATTGCCAGGGAAGTCCTACTCACCGCCTTCTTGCGGCGGGGTTGTTGTTCGCAACATTGAGAGGACTAAAAGAGAATGTCCAGCGCTTTAACCAGGTTGGTGAACGCGGAGGGTCCACCTAGGTGAGTTGAAAAACTCTGATTCCAAACCAATCGAGCACATGGGCTCTAGTATCCTTAATGAACAAGTGGAGAATGAACCTATTGTTTGTGACCGGCTACCATGGGACTGCACATCTTACGTTGCTTCAGACATTTAGGTCAAAGGCTCGTGGTTTGGCCCCCCTAAGGAAACCACCTGCTTCGGTCTCGTCACCCGAGCAGTATCACAGCACACACACAAATCGATTGATTTACGTGGCGCATATCTATTTGGTGCAATATTATGTGTCCAAATAAAATAAATAAGTCAGACGGGATGAATTCCCGAGCGTTAATGAACCGCTGAAATCTAATGATTTTACTTACTCTATTGGTTTAATTTACAAATATATATCACCGTTGTTTCCACAGCTTTTTAGATATCAAGCCAAGTCACCTCAGGACGGATATCATTTTTAAGGTTGACTGGCTTGTTCTCTGGTCTAATCTAAGGGGTTTACTTGCTGTGGTTTTTTTCGTTCAGTTAGGTGCAGAAGAATACGTGCTCGAACTAGAACATGATCCAAGTCCTAAACATATGCTCCAGAATGAACGAGTCTTTAAATGAGCAACTCAAACAATGGTTGATGGCAACGTGATTTATTTGAAACTATCGCTAAGTCAATTGTGGAGGTCGCCACGTCAGACGATGTTTTTTCTCGTGTTTAGAGTTGATGTTTGCTAGAAACAGACAATTATCTGATCGTGGTTGCACCAGACAGCCACCATTATCCATTTGCTGAGCCGCAACACTGTAAGATCTATCAAAATGCCTTACGATTTGGTTTAGTCTACCTGCTTGAGCGTTAAAGTAACTTGTCACTATTAATTAGAGCTTTTAGCTTTTAAAATGGATTTGGATAGCTTCCTATAAAAATTATCTTTAGCTTCATCCAAGCTGCAATCAGTGGGATCGTATGCAAAAACAACGGAGAGGCAACGGCGTGTCCCTATCTTTTCGAGTTTATACTGTCCCATTTAGTCGGACAGCGCACAAACGACTGCCTATTTGAACCCAGTCTGACAAAAGCTGTTTTACTTTTGAACAATACTACAACCACACCAATGGGGACCTACAGATACGCGAAGAGTAAATCTTTCCGATTCTTTATATTGACAAGGTGAGGTCAAATGAATGAGTCATTGGATCCTGTATGTGTGTTTCGGAGACACAGCATTCATCGATGGTGCAATATTCTAGAGTACTGGCTAAAGTACCCTGTTATCCTATCTGACTTAAAGTTCAAAATTTAAAAGCTCCAACATGTAGTTTAGAGCGTGGTTTCAGGAGACCAAGAATAACATTTCGTGAACTCAAGTAATTAGCATTAGTGGCTCGTGGTGATAAAGATATACGGGAGAATTTAGTCGTGGAGATGGGAGAATTAGTACACGGTGAGTGATAGACTCGATTGTCAACAAGACGATCTCGGGTGCCATTATAATTATAAGGGCGGTTGTCACTTCCTGGTTTCCCAGAGCTAAAGAGACAAGTGCATGAGGCCGGCCGCGCATGGCCTTTTTATGGGACGTTTCTGATTCATTAGCTCCACACTTCAAGAAACATTAACACCGAAGTCGGAAGTCCATGGTGTAAGGTGAGGTGTGACATTTTTGGGTCAACCTTTCTTAACCCCTTCCTTCCGTTGTGAGGTAGTATCGCTACAGATGCTGGTTGTCTAGAGTGAACACCTTACTGCTAGTCACACCCCTAAAGTCAGCAGTAATACTTCGCCCTCGGACCTTAAGTTGCTGTATTTAGTCTTACCGTTCTTGCTGGTATAGCAAGACATAAAGTAACATGTGTTCCAATCAATATGGCTCAGTTGAGCCATCAAAACAGGCAAGCCCAACCCGCACATCAAGCTAGCAGCTGCGGTTGGTGTTTTGACGACTGAATGAATTAGCTGTACCTGTTCTACCCGCTCCTCATAATAACCGTAAAAGTCAAGTAAGACTCTCAAAGCATTTTCCAACTACTATATTTCGAATGGTTTTCCAAAGTTAGTGGGCTGTCTCAGAGCGCTTAGGCGCAGCTAATCAGATGGTTAGGAAGCAAATGGGAGCAATAGCACTTGTGTAAAATGCCAAACAGTTTATTTGACTTTGTGCATGTCACATAGCTCTACACATTTTAAAATGCACTGAAATGTTTATTCTTCATACATTATATGAAGATTTATCTAACGTAAGACATGGATATATCTGCGGATATTAGTAAAAGGTATAAAAAAAACACCCGATCTCCAGTAAAGTAAGAGAGACGGTTACTCTGCATCAATCATTAATAGTATAACTGGACTAGTAACCTTAATGTACCAGATTACTTTATTATCACTGTAATTATCTTTATTTCTAATAATACTCAATTAAGAAATAGCATTGATTTGAAACCCAAAAGTAGAGATACATATTAAAGTGCGTATACCTAAAGTGCGAACGTACTTTTTCGATAGGTTTCCAAGCAGAATCACCTGTTAAAGACCAAACAATAAGTTGACCAGCAGAGTTAACTGCAGCTAATGAAGTTACTTCTTGGTCAATAGATAAACTATGAATGGGTTCAATTTGGCCATCAATGCATATACAATTAGCCGCATTGTTGCGAAGGTCCCAAACTATAACTTCTCCTTTACTTGTTCCGATGAGAATTTCATGTTGATTGCGATGAAGCAACATTGTATTAATGCTCGAGGACGTCTACGTAAGAACAAAAAAGAACAGATGATGTTCTGGTTTTGAATAATGCTAACATGACTTAAATTACTCCCATTATCTAATAAAGTAATACTGATAGTAATAATATCTGAGGTTACACAATCACAATTGTCCGTCAAATATTAGAGTACTGAAAAACAGAGCGATATGTGAGGGTTGGACAACTTTAAGTATAACAATTTTGAAGTCAAATTATTGTAAGACCTGAGGATGGAATTACACTTATCAAGTTCATACAAACAGCCAATGCACGTCTACATAAAAACTATTTGGATAATCCCTATGGTGAATTAGGAGACGTATACCAATATCTAATAAGAAAATAAAAGTGTTCTGTAGCTATCCACAGCTTATGAACTTCATAACCGTGGCACTTAATCACAGAACACTGATTGTGTATTCCTTATTTTTCATTACAACCTTATGTAAGAAACAGAAACATTGAGAAACGAATACGAAATGGCTGTTCCATTCATACTAAAACTCCTCAGTAGTGGATACCGCCAGACCACGATAAGGATTAAATCAATTAGTTACTAAGCTATAAGTTGAAGTTAATAAGTATTCATTATGGGACAACAAAAGCGAAAAGATTAAAAGTAGTGTGAGTCAACGTGTTTATAAAATTTTAATCTGTGAAGACTAGTATGTACTTACGCCTATTTGTTTAGCCAAGTTTCACGTTCACAGGTTAGTATAATAAAGCGAATAATGATAATAATCACTTCAAAGTTTTAGTATTCAATTACTATCCAGTATTTTTTGAACCACTGAATAAATAATCGAAGAAAAAATCAATACAACTCAAAGTCGAAACGCGCAAAATTGAGTCGATCCAGGTTGTCACACTCAACAACAATATAAGAGGTGAAACTGAACAACAGTTGGAAGACAATCACACTAAACACGGACACGAAAGGAGGATAAAACCATAGGATAACCATTGAACTAGGAAAGTGCTTTGTTTTAAATGTAGTGTTAAGTCTGCTTCTCAAAGTCAGAATAACGACTTTTCACGTTCCTAACCGCCAACCTCCGTGCGTTTTAATAAATAGTTTTACAACTAGGTAACTTACGATTACCTGGTAAATACGTGTTATCCACAGATTTCCACCGGCTCGCCAATCTATAATCTTTGCTACACGATCTTCAGCTCCTGCAAACATCCAGTTCCCTGTATCATTAAAGCCAACTGTGTTTACATTTTTCGTGAAATCTGAAACCATAACGAAGGGTGTTGCGGGACCCTGAACATCATAGATACGAACTCGACCATACCCACCAGCTGCTAGGTACTGACCGTCGCGGGAAAATTCAAGAGCGTTTACCTAGAGATTTAGGTTTCGAATACATTTAAGTAACTGACCTGTGATTCATTGTGCTGAAAACCTTGGATATATTTTCCAGTGCTCGGTTGCCACATTCGGATAGTATGATCGAAACCACCAGTTGCCAAGGATAAATTATTATCGTAGTCGTTTTTCATTAGTTGGTGTCTGCATAGAAAAAACGCATCATAGAAACCTCAAAGCAAAATATCCACAGGTTTAGTAAAGAAGTTTACAAATCCACCCACATAAAATACTACAAAGGGATTAGGTACTATTAATTTGTTTAAAAATATTTAATTCGGTATCCGATATTTTTGTTACAAGTTGGCAGGAACCAGTCATTTTGTGCTAAAGAAGTAATCTAGAAAACGGTTCAAGACATATCACAAGGAGGTATTTAGCTAAACCAACCGACTGTAGCAACCGTAGTGGTTTCACTAGATAGTTGAATTTCGGTCTGTTTTGAGGGGAAATGGGTTTGTCCTAGGGAAATATTATTGTCGAAACCACATGATATCATTAATTTGCGCTTGGAGCTCTGTTTATATATTCAGACACTTTCTAAACTCTAGTATTTCTTCAGTATTGCATCGCGATATTCTAATATCATGATGATGGGGAGGAACTATTTAGATCACCTCGGTCAGACATAAGCAACGTAAAAATCGGAACATGCGTACTGGTTCAACTTACCAAACTATATCAGCACAGAGGTGAAATTATCAACACAGAGCCAGTGCAGTGGTAATAGTAACAGTATTGATGGGAGAAAATACTGGGTGTAGATAATGAGTACATAATAAACTCATGAAATAAAAAGTATGGGAATATTTCAAAACACAAAGGGGATGAATCTGGGCCAGAGATCGATTCTGAACAATGCTACCTACAGACACTAACCATTGTTTACGACTATTGTTCGAAATCTAACCGAATTCAGCAGTCAGTAACTTTGTGGACTGATCTTACGCATTGTGTTAATCTATTTGAGTACGAGGCAAATGGTACTGGGATGTATTGAGGATTTTTCAGGCCAGACAGCTTGGACTGGACTGAGTCCATCTATCTTCATTTTTCAGTAATAAGAATGGTAGGTCGGTGGACCTGTGTTAATCCATACAAATTGTTTTCTAGTGAAGGCCCAGTTCCTCCTTGAAAATGTTCACAGATAGGGCTGATACTTGTTTGGGTAAAACGTTCCGGTCGTTGACCACTCTTTGGGAAAAAATGAACCCCACTCTGAGTTTATTAGATCGAGGTTTTTGAACCTTTTTACTATGGTCTCGAAGATTATTAGTGCTGAAGGGAGCAAAAAGATGAGATATTAACACCCAAATCGTAATCAAAGTTACGGAATAGCAAAATAATGTCATCTCGCGTCCTACAATACGATAAGGAGGAAAGGTTTAGCATTTTAAGTGCCCATCGTAAGGGAGTTAAAAGATAATCACTAATTGACTTCCCACACCCTGAACATGCCCAATATCCTTAGTAAGACATGAACCAACTACTTGAATACAGTACTCTAAGTGTCGTCTTACGTAGGTGGTATATAGAATTCGAAACATATCTTCGTCAAAGCATTTGAATGCTCGATGAAGTAACCATAACGCATAAAAACTTTGGGCAGCAACTGCGTTGCAACGCTTACCTACATCCAACTACATCAGCAGTAGTAAACTCTCCACGGTACTGATGTTATTTAACTATGATGGGTCTGGTGAACATGATCTTGCTGGAACCAATGAAGGTTTTATTCATAGACAGATTGAGAACTGCTAATCACAGGATGTGAATAGTTTGTTCCTCGAAATCCTTGTCTGGATATTAACATGGTGATGATTTTAACTAACCTATGAATCTAGATGGCTAAAACACCAACCAATGTGGAGTGATTGACGAGTAACACCTTGAAACACAGTAAGATATATCGAGACCATATAGCTTATTTTCTTACAGAAACATCAGCCATCGTCTGCGCTAACAAATTAACAAGACATGGATGAACTTTCATAGAACTGTGTGGCTTTTTAAAGAATGTGGTTTAGTTTGACCTGCAGCTGTCTAATATTCATAAAAGCTTGTATTTACTTATGAATAAGCTACTCTACAACTACATATGCGCGGTTTGAAACCAAAAACTTACTAAGGCATTTTTTAGTCGGCGATATCATATACTTCATAATTACCATAGTGATACCGGCAAGTTCTTGCCATTGACGTAGCGGTACGTATTTAGCCAGAAGGTGCTACGTGTACTAATGGAGCATGCAAAGTAGCGAAAGTGACGAATGCTGGAAAAGAAAAAGCAAATAGACGGCCTAGTAGGGGCATGCGTTGGACTTACTTGCATCAAGGAAAGCAATCAACAACAATTGGAAGTAACACAAGCCTTAGATCACTATAATCTTGGGATAGAAACTAGAAGTAGGTAGTGTGGTGAGAAATCGTGGGCAACGCTCCTAGAGTATCGTCCACTGATGGGGGTTGCGAGCACTTGAAGGTCAAACTGTCGCAAAATGATTGGTGCGTCACATCGACAATTCGTTAAAATTTTCAGAAGCGGTCAAATCAAGACATTTTTAGATTTGAATTGAGTTCAGCTACACCACGTCTGGTAACGTTCATTCCTCAAGTAACAAAGACGATGCCATCGTGATGATGCATGATATAGGACGAATCGTCAATCATATTATGTTATCTCGAAGATTTACAAGTTGGGACAATTTTGAGACCTGTTTGAAAGAAGTACATAAGGTAATATGACTTCTGTGGTTAATAATTATTTTTTTAGTGTACGCATACTAAGTACGTTGTGTCATTATGCAAAAAGAACAGTGATGATCCAACTCTAAAGTACTTTTTTTCGTGAGATATGTCTGTACATATGGACGTAAACGCAGTTCGTCAGAGTCAGATGCTTGTGTTCAGGATGTAGATGATGATAGTAATAATCATTCTTCTGAAGAGCATACAACTTCTAACTCGCCAACACAACCTAGGCAAAGGAGACGACGTCGGTCATCTACGTATACCTTACTTCAAATGAATTTATCCTTCAGGTCGAAATATTGCCATTGTCAAACAGGATTTTGGGTCCGGGCAGTAAATGGTGGGTTGAAACTCACCTCTATCAAAAACGGTGCACAACCATCCTTGCACAGAAGGATATATTTTTTTCGATCCATCGAAACGACAGTTGACCTCAAGTGGACGCTTGTGTTTAAGAACGTTTTTACTGAGTAATACACCAACTCGTAGCTTACGGTATCTGGTTTCTTGGAAGTTCAATAAACAGCTTACCAAGGACGATATCGCCAGAATGCGTTCACAGTTGTACCCAGGTTGTTGAACTCACATTGCAATTAATTGAGTTTAGACACTAAAAATATCAATGACATTTTACAGCGCGTTCAAGCAAATACTGAAGTTAAAGTATTCAATGAAAATGGGAACATGTCTATGATTTGCTTCAGCTGCAGAGAGCAAATAGCTGTTTACCACGCGTTCCTGGAGGTAATATGTATTGATTGGACTTATCAGACCAATAAAGTCGGGTAAGTAACGATTAGTAATAAATTTATCTTAAAGTTTTCCACTGTTCCAGCTAGTGGTGATTGATAGTCTTGGGCTAGGGCACACTGTTATGTATGCTCTCTGCAGTCAAGAACGACGCGAAGATGTCGAAAAACTATTGGAATGTTTTAAAGAGATACTGTGCGGTACTTATGCCACATGCACTTTCATTATGGATTCGGCAGCGACCGAAATTTCAGCTGTGCAGTCTACGCACAGTCATTCTAACATAATACTTTGTCCATTCCATGTCCTGAGAGCGTTTTTCAGGAAGGTATGTGTTAGCTGTACAAATTATTCTCTGTAGTTCCGAAATCCTGATGTGCGCAAATGCTTGGAACACCTTGTGAAGACTAGACGGTCTGATATATGAGCTTCGCTTTTCATAACGCATTATATTCAGATTTACTCGAAAGTACGAACACCTAAGGACGTATTCCCCACGGGCGTATGATTACATAAAAGATTACTGGATTGCCAGGAAGTCAATGTGGGCTCGCTGTTACCGGCGACATGTATTAAGCCTGGGCAACCGCACAAACAACCGTGTTGAAAGTGCTCATAAACACCTAAAAGAATGTCTCAGAAGAGGTGATTCCCTGCTATTGACGTTCTAGAAAATATGGAGTAAAACAGACATTGACCTACGTTTGCGTCCATATGACGCTGTAAAGGATCTTCAACGTTTTCTAATTCTCCAGGTAAGAAATATAGTTGAATGTATCATTAATTCCAGGTTCCAATGTCACTTCGAACTCTTCTAAATGAGTTCACATCTTTTGCAGCTAAAATTGTAGCTGTAAATTATAAACGTGTTCGCACAATGAGACACGAATTTATAGAAGGAGAATACATCCGGTGCTACGACAAGGGTATGATGTATGTTGTTGATATTTCACGTTCACGATGTGCTCGTGAGCGTTTCAATGACTACATGCTGCCCTGTGGTCATATTTTGTATGCACACTCTAAAGATCTGATTCGTGGAGGTATGTGTTCCTTTATCTCTATAAGTTTTGTAGACTTATTTCGACATAGCAACCGGTGGACAAGAAAATACATAATGGACCTGGTTCTTCGTGCGCTGGACAACATCTCAATCTCTACAGGGAGTGATGATCTGCTAGAGAAGTTCACCAGCAACTACCACTCAATCCATGCTCTTAGTGAACCTTTGGCAAGTAAACTCATCCGTTCGTGCCTCGAAGCATCGGAAGACATATACGCACAAGTGATGAGTTCAATCGGTGCTAATGACGAAGCTACAACGTCAGAATCCATTGTTAATACAGACCATAGCTATGCTTCTTGATAACAAGAAGTTCTAATGTTGTAATCTTTTTAGTTTTACATAAATTCATTTATATGGCCATTGACTTATTCTCATAGCGTAACGGCAGGGAGTGTACTGTGCAGTCTTATGTGGCTGTGAGACAGGGATGTTGTTTCGCGTTCTTGTGTAATAATTACCAGTTTGGGGCACACGCGATTAGTCATACATACCGTTTACCAAATACTGCTACCTTGAACATGGTGTTTCGTACTAGTAGTTCGAATTTCCACCTGTCACGATAGATAAGAATTGCCGTAATTAAAAGACTTGTGCGTTATAAATGAAAACGTTTATTAAAGTTTGAATCTAGCACAAATGATTCATCAATAAATAACTTCTATTTCTTAGGAATTGTTCCCGTTAGGTCTGTGAACACTCGCGAAGCCAGCTGTAAATAGGATAGACAGGAAATAGTTATTGCAGTATAAATGTTTACCAGAAATTAGTATAAAAACGGAAACCAGTATTCACTTACAGATCAAAAGTGGATTTAGCACACCCTTTCTTTGGATAGTCAATCACGCTTATTTCCTTTATCTCTTGCGTTGCTTAGGAAAGTCTGAGTCACAACATACACGGATTGTATTATTAAATTCCTTGGACAGGTTGCACTTCGGAAACTTAGACGATGAAAATATATAAATACTACTGTGTGAATTTACTTTGAATCGTCCTGTGTAACCTGCAATTCTTGATGCATAATCTATTTTAGTCCCACGTAAGTTATGAGTAATTGTCGTTTACGGCATCAGCACGTAAGCTAGACAGGCTTTGGTTGGTTTCCGATAATCATCACATAGGATCTCACACAATCTGGTCACCATAGATCAAGATATCTTGACTATCGAATCGTACTTTTCAGTGCTTTCCCGTGACAGCTTTATATCAGTACTTATTTCTGCTATTAGGTATTTATGCAATAATACCGGCAGCCAAAACATTGTAGCTCTACACAAGAAGTTGTAGCGGTAAATAAATCCCCAAAATAAATAGCTCTGTAAGTTTTCGACATTGGATGCTGACCATATGTTTTAATGGACTCATCTAGCTGAAGGCGCTCGGCCATGCATCCGCACCAGATCACGTGTGGTAACGCTGTGCTCAACATCTACCGCAATCGCTAGCCAGATTAGATCAGAGAATTCCGATATATTGGTTATCGCCAAATACACTCTTCCGATCTCCTCGACTCTGTCTTTTGATTTCGCTGAGTGGTTACGAATTATATTAGGTGTTACTGGTAGAAGCGTTGTCAAACACTGAGTACCTGTCACACATTCATTGGTGAGACCGACGTCATCTGGTACACCTAATTGCAACTGTGAATCTGTTCCTTTTTGGGATTTTTATATATTATTGCCTTATTTTTCAATTTTTATACATTGTGATATTTCCCCCCCCGTGTCTCAAGATATCTATATTTTTCCCTCGTATTCTCGTACTTAATATTCCCCTATGACCGAACAGACTCCTAAGATATTTAAGATTAAAACCATGTCCCCACCCTCGCTCCAACTCATGCCCTTCTGGCCCGACAACATCGAAGCCTGGTTTTGCTACGCAGAAGCCGACTTCCACGAGTACGGCGTGTTCGACACACGTGCACAATTCCTCGCAGTAGTCAAGGCACTATCCCGGGAATTCAACAGGTACGTAACACCTAGTATGTTTACTAGTGATGTTTCCGATCCTTACGAAATCTTAAAACGTTCGATTCTTAAACGAGGAGACCTAACTGATCGACAAAGTTTAGATCAACTCTTCAATAACATCGACCTGCAACACGGTTCTGCGACGGACATGTTGCAACGGATGAGAGAGGTTATAGGCTCAAGAACGTTCGACGAAGGTCTATTCAAACACCTTTTCTTGTCTAAACTTCCCCAACAGGTGCAAGCGGTTCTGATCTCGTTTCAGAACAACGCCTTATACGAACTGGCTGCACCTGCCGATCGTATCTTAGAAATTACGAAATCTACTACCGAGGTATTTTCAGTCAAAGAAAAACCTCACACGACTCAGAATGACATAGCCGAGTTATGTCATACACTCACGTGTTGTCTTAATCTTCGTACCGACCGTAAGAGATCGCGCACCCCACATAGAAGCATTTCACGTAAGCGATCTATCTCTAGACCACGAGAGACGGATAACACCGACTGGTGCTGGTATCATAACCAGTATGGAAAGTTTTCCAGAAATTTCGGAAAACCCTGCAATTTTCCCAACACGAAACCGACTGACTCGAAAAACAACTCAGGAAACTTCCAAGCCGGCACGCGTTAACGGCAACCGCAGCCGGCGAACATAGCCGTCTGTTATATGTCACAGATGTGACAACGAAAGTTCGCTACCTCGTCGACGCTGGCGCAGAAATTAGCGTTCTCCCAGCAAATCCTAACGACCGACTCCACGAATCGACCCTAAACTTACAGGCGGCAAACGGAAAACCGATCGCTACGTATGGCAAAAGGTACGTTTACCTTAACGTGGGTTTACGCAAACCCATTCACTGGATCTTCGTTGTTGCAGATGTTTCTATGCCAATTATTGGTATGGACCTTCTACAACACCATAATCTACTCATCGATACTCGCAAACGGAG